ATGCTTGGCGTTCTTACAAGGGACACACAGAGCCTCTCACAACCATCTGCAACTCCAGTTCCAAGAGATCCAATGACCTCTTTTGACCCCAAGGCCACCAGGCAAACAATTGTTTCACATACATACAGGTAGACCAAACAACCGTGCAGATAAAATGAATAAGTCTTAAAATAAATGAATGGTGTAAGTATTTGCTAACTATGAAAACATATTCAATTAAATTCATATTAATTGTATGATTATTATATAAGTGGTTGATGAAGATGGCATTAGAGACCATTAGAGGATATTACAATTTTATAAGATCGATGAGACCCAAAGTCATGTTTCAGATATTTAGGGATAGTTTATATACTGACATCCTACCTTCAGTAAATACTGACTCATTATTTCATTTATGTTATTTCTAGAAGGATGATCAGCATAAAATATGACTTAATAGCATTCCAATAAATATCTTATCTGAAAACATGGGCTCAGGATTGTTGGATTCCAGTCTAGTATTAAATCTGACTGATTCTAGGTCGAGTTGAAATAAAATGAAATATAAAAGTACCTTGAGTAATGCATCATCTTCAGAAAGAAATTAAGTCATAACTAAGGACAGCAAGGGTCACATAACTAAAGAGTTATGTCCTTTAATACTTAACAGTATCAGAGTCCAACAATTCATACAGCCTCACAAATGAATCTAAAAGTTAAAAGAAGGTGTGCTTTTCTATAAGTCTTTTGAAAAATAAAAGTTTAATCTATAAATTAAATGACATAGTGAAATTCTGATATATGTATAGAATGTTTTTCACTTATCAACCCAATTGCCCTTTAAATCTTGCTTCTCGGTGGATAGATATGAGAAATGACAGCATCTAATTTAAACTATTGCTTTTATTATAATTACACGGGAGCACAAATAAATAAGCACAAAATATCATAAAATATTGTCAATGCACTAGAGAGAAATCAATTTGTTTTCAAACAACATCTGGTTACTTCAGTAGTATCAAAGTACATATTCAATTACATATTACTAAAAAATCAAGTACAAAAATTAAGAGACATTAAACATCAGTGTTTATATTATTATGTATATAGAAATGCCTAGGAATACGTGAATAGAGAAATCTGTTATCTAATGCTTATTTGCACAAATATTCAGGCACATACCTGACATTGCTAATGAGTTATGAAAATGCAATATGACATTCAGAATTTTAGGTATGGTAAACATCTTAATGTTTGAATGGATGTTAAATGGTTTTCTTTAAAAACCCTGTCTTTTAAAAATGTAGTGTAATTACCCACTATAAAACAGATTAGTATATCATTTTCCATAGCTATTTGTTTCAAATGTCTGAAAAGTCAAGAAAGTAAACATACAGTTGCTAAATACGTAAACACGCTTTTAGTGCAAGATAACAAAAGTGTGACTGTACTGTGCTTTGATTTTTCTTATAATCACAGTGCACTTTACACAAATTGCTACACTATAAATGTTAAGAAGTCCAAACAAAAGAAGTGCATACTAAACATTGTCATATATATTATATACAGTATGCATTCTGTATCTGAGTGTGTACATGTTTAAATATAAATGCATGTAGGTTGGGCAAACCCAGTTATATTTGGGAACAAATGAATATTTTGAAGGCATATTCATAAATGTTTATTTGAGATAAATTCCACAATATTTTTTAATGTTTCTCCTTAAATCTGAAGCATCATCATAATAAAAGGAAATGTAACCAGATATTTTTCCATATTAGACACATTTTGTTCCATAAAATTGACCCAAATATGAGAGGGCTTTAAACCATCCAAACCCTAAGTCAAAGTCACAATGTTTACATTAAACATGATAATACAGTGTTATCATTTTTTGATTTACACAGATAGCAGTACATATTGTAAGGTACAGGTAGAAGCTTACACATACACATATGCTATACTTAGACATAAATTTAGTATATGTTCATCTTTTATTTTGACTGTACACTTGACCAGAGAACAACAAAAATGCTGCATATAAGCAGTTAAAAACTGCCAAACCTGTGAAATCATGTATACCCTTGAAGACATTTGACTTTTTATTTTGAAAATATTATTGTCTGCATAATTGAGTCCCTTAATTACAAAATCCACATTTATTTCAATGTCCAATTTCAAGTGCTTTTGAAACTGTCCAATAAATGATAATGTGAACTTTTAAAGAAATAATGGATTGCTTACAAATTGTCCAAATTCTATAATTAGCTAGTTATTATCCCAAGCCAGGAAGATGGTATAATTTCCCCTATGCACTGTATGTGTCATTTCTCTTTTATGTCCTTTTAAATTTGAGATATAAGTCATGAGGAGATCATAGTCTATCCTATCAACATTGCTTTTCAAGTGAGACTTAAAACCCCTCAAATTACCCACTCCATAAATTATAGGAACATTTGCTTTAATTTCAACTGAAAATGTGGTTAATTTACAAGATCTACATTGGAAATCTGTGAATTTAACATGTAAGTGATATAAAAATGTATCTGTGGGTGCATTCTTCTGATATCTTTATTAAAACTAGCTGAGTCTGGTCAAGTGTGTTGACTTTCTACTCAACTTGTTCAAAAGAAGCAAACCAAATTCTGTGTGTAGACAAGACTACACATATGTCACTATCTCTGTTTTCTAAAACCATTTGTACAAAATCTTGTTGCTTGTCAGTAGTTCAGTATTTTGAAAAGTGATATTACAGCCAAGGTATATGCTTTATAAAATAACAGATTTTACTTCTTGATGTTTTCTTTTCTTTTTCAATTATTATGTAGCTGAAAATTCACCCTTAATTGCACAAATCTACCACTTTGCACCTCAAACTTGCATCAATAAGCATACAGAGGGAGATATTGACAGTGTCTGTTAAGTGTGATTTCTCACGTAGTTCTGGCTTCTGTGATGGGGAAAACACAATATTTTACTCTTCCTTTCCATCACTTCCAAGGAAATTCTCCACCAAGAAGTATTTCACACCTAAAAGTATCTTGGTGACAGGCAATAAAATTCTGTTTTTACAACATTTGCTGTGAAAAGACTATTTGTCGTAAGTATGAGTTCCCTTGGCCTGATAACATGCCTTTCTATGATTTGTTCTTTGGCATTGCTAGAAATATGAGCTTTATCGTGACATCATGTGCTGGCTGCAGATTATCTTCTGACCAGATTCGTATGGTGAAGTGCCTGATTTATTGCCACAGAGAGTCAGCATGATTTTCTCTATCTACTAATGACTCTTTTCTCACAGCAAAGAGAAGCTCTATAGGAAGAGGAAGTCGACTGTAGAATAGCTAATTGCCACAGTGGGCAATTCTATGTTTTATAGGCACAGAGTAACAGATCTGGAGTCAAATCCAAGTAAAACCATCTTTTCAGATATTCCAACTGTTCCTCGTGTAGAGAGAGGTTTGGAAAAATAAATGAAAAAGGTTACCTAAGTTCAAATTTTCAAAATAGCTAACTCCTCAAGAAATAACACATTTGAAAAGGAAAGGAGTTTGTGACTTGTGGCCCTGACACAAACTTAACAGAGCACCCATGAATGGCTGAGTCCAACACAAATCATTTTAGTAACTCTGTTGCCTTCTGGACAAGTGACCAACATTCAAAATTATCTTCTGTCTAGTTCAGAAGGATATGTGTAAGATCAGCAGGTAAAAACACACTTGGAAATATATTACTCACACTTAAATGTCAAAAGGGCTCATCTTTACTTTAATAGCTGGAATGCGCATGTATTAAGATCACCGAGAATCCAACAAATTCAGCACTGTGTTTGATTGATTGGATTGAATATATGAAGTCATACTAGCTTAAATCAAGATAACTACTTGGGCCCAAGACACACTTGATTTTAATTATGATTTTTATCTTAAAACATTTTTATCACTTTTATATCTGTGCTGAATTGATTGTTGGGTTTGAATTATAAATCCACATCGCTGGTAAAACACAGCAACAGCTTTCGTTTAAGGTACTTAAGATCTCTCTGCGGTATTCTATATTTGTGATTTTGCCTTTGTCACATCTTCCTTGTACGAGCAGAACTCACCACGTCAGTGAGCATTTTATATATACAGTTTTGCCACTGATTGTTTACACACACACACAAACACACACCCATACAACACATGCTCCCACTTACCGTGTTCCTTATTCTTTCAGGATTATAATTGGACATCAAAATATACATTAATTATAAAACATTAAAAAATTATGTTATAACATTTCAAGCTCTCTTCGAGGAACTATTACTGATAAAGAATTACTAGAATTTTTTTATCAATATAGATTACAAAAACTCCTTAAATTCTGTTATATTTGGCTTTATTGAGCAGCATGGAACTATTGCTGTCAATACCCTCACAAGAAAAACTACTAGGATAATAACTTCAAACACACTTTTTCCTCTCAGAAATATAATACTAAATTGATTGTTAATGAAGAACCACATACTGTCAATTTTAGGAAGCATAAATATTAATTTAAATATACAAAATATATGTGATAGCTTTCTTTTTATTCATCCATGGCAATATTTACTTTCGACTAACACGTTATATTTAAAGATATATACCATTTTCTTAAATTAAATTTCTTAACTTAAAGTTCACCACCACATAAAATTGAGTCCACCCTAATTTTTTTTCTCCCCTGCACTTCCTGTTTCTTCCTTGAAACAAAATAAAATAAAGAAGTGGTCATAATTCTTTGGTCATGGTGTCATAATCAGTAAGAATGGGTACAGTGTATATAAATGGAAGATTAAGACCCCCAAAATGTAATAACTAGCTTTAAAAGATTGGCAAGAAATACCTTTTCATGAATGGACTTAAATTTGAGGAAGGTTGTCATGGAGTATACTAAAATATGTAAATTGGTATAGTTGAATGTTTATTTCTCTAATTCTTGTGGGAAAATCATGCCCACAAAGTGGTACTTAAAGATATCATGTCTATAGTGCCTCTGTTTCCACTTTCTTGAAAATAGCCATCATTTTATGGTTTTGATTCTTCGTTCCTTCCAATGTCACAGTGAACCCTGGTCTCCTCCAATCAACTCAATGCTGCAAGGACACATGTCCCTAAAAGTCATTTCTGAAAGAAAGTTTTCTGTTGGAGTGTCCCAATATATCCTACTACCTTTCTGTGTAGTCTGACTAACTAATACTAAGTGCAAACATCAGGATGTGAAAGAAATCCTTAGGAAGTCACTGTAGCAAAGACGGTCAGTGTCAGGGTAACATGGGCATGCAGATGAGTGTCATATTTTAACTCACTTTCCATCAATCCCCTACAAACATAGACAGCAGCAGACAATTCTTACAAATACAATATTCAACTTCTGTATCGCTAGCACCAGATTACATTTTATGTGCTTAAATAGGACTTACACTTGTGAGATCTCCTACAGAAGCCAAATGTGGGCAGGAGGACAAAGATATTCTCAATGCAAAATAAATAAGAAAAGGCATCCAGGGGTTACATATAAAAGAGATAACAAACCAGTTAATACCAAATTATATCATCTAGTAAACTTTTCTGGTATTTCTCCAACTCAAATATGTATAATGAACATTATTTCAGGTGTCACCCATACACTAGCAAAATATTTACAATTTAGTATGTTCTGGATTCAAAATAATCCACAATAAGAGAATGTACCTTAATTGCAAAGACAAAAACATTTTATCTTGGGCTTGCCACAGTACCCATAGATTCTTGTGGAATCCCACATCAACAAAGAATATATGTAACAATTATCACAAGACCAAGTCAACCTCCCTTGTATTAAGCAATGTGGAGCTCACACCAGTACAGGCTCATATGGCAGTATCCCAGAATACCGTTTGCTGTTTAGAATAGGGTGGAGGGCTGTACTTCTTTGTTCCTGCGTTCTTCTTCCAGCTGGGTAGGATTGGCATGCTATCCTGTTTGCAAAGGCCCTTTTCCGTTTTCTGTCTAGCCTTTATTTCTTTGCACAAGCAACGCTTTTTCTCAATCATCTCAAGCATTGTATGGTCTCCATGAAACCACTGCATGCATGCCACCTAGCAAAAAAGAAACAGTGAATACAAAAGAAAAAGATGGAATGAAAGTGTGTCTTTCACACTGTGCTAATAGCTGTTATGAAAACTGTCAACTATTTATACACCTACTTTTTTGAAAAAGTTAAAATCGACTAATAGAACACAAAAGTCTAACAAAGCAAAAGTGAAAGCATAATTGCTATAAATAAGCATTCTTCTTAAATTGGCAAATGTCATGACATGATTTACTAACAGTTTGGATATAAATATTTCCCAAAATATATCTGAAGTCCTCAGTAGGGTCAGTGACATGACACAACAAGAAAAGGTATTTGTTTCCAAGCATGTTGACCTGCATTCGGTCCCTGTAATGCACACAGTAGGAAAGAACCAGTTCCTATCCGTCCGTGGTCCCCTAACTCTACATTTCTCTTTCTCTCTTTCTCTCTCTCTCTTTCCCTCCCTCCTCCTACTCCTCATCATCTTTCTCTCTCACATACCTTGCACAGTAAATAAGTAAATTAATGTTTTCTTCTTAAAAATACCACAATGTGGAAACAAAATAACTTTATTTTCTAAACAAATTTCCAAATATTTACCATTGTGTTATTGTTCCCAATATATATAAATTAAGATACAAAAACTATGACTATGTTTTTAAAGTTGTTAAGGACCATTTTCATTCCTGAAATATGTTTTAAATACTTGGATTTCTTTCTAAACAGAATCAAGTAAAACACATTTGTTGAATAATTCCACCAGCTGAAGTGACTCTGGGTGTGCACTCCAAGTTTAGATGGGTTCTCAAATGTCCATCTGCTGAGTTATTTTTACTGTAGTTTTTGATATACAGGAAACATCTGAGATGAAATCACTGCCCTCTACAAGCATGCTAATAACAACTTAGAGAAGACAGTTCATCAGTTAGACTCACAAAGAAGGATCAGTGTGGACTATAGGTTGAACATACAGTAATAAACATATTGCTTGACAGGTGTTCATACACACACAGACACACACACACACACACACACACACACACACACGTGTGTGTGTCTGTGTGTGTAATGATTTTCTTCTGAACCAATTTTGCCATAGAAAGATAGCAATGAGATAAGCCCATCATTAATCCAAGCAAGGAAGAACACATTTAATTGTTTAAGCAAATATCCCCTCTGACTAAAAGGTTGAAATAAAGCAAATTAAGTCACCAAATTTGTCATTATGGATTTAGGATGATATCAAACAAATCCTTATCTAATTTTAGTTCTTCAGCTGATGACATTGTGATGCTTTAATGGCTTAACCCATACCTTCCTTGCAATAATGAAGTTCTAAAATAAGCACTGTACATTACCATGGTCTAGTATGTGAAATTTCATAGAAAAAACAATTTCCCACCCTATAATAAAGAGCTAGGTAGTTGGAGATCATTCAACTCTATAACACTGGAAAATTGCCAACTCAAAGTAAGATTTCTTTGTAATATATGTTTACAAATATATGTAGCCTCATACATAGAATATTTTCTTTTTGATTTAAATTTGAAACAAGGTTGTTTTACATGTTCCCTCACCCTCCCATCTGTCCCTATCACTCACACCAAACTGCAGTCCATCTCCTTTATGCTCCTCAGGGAGGGTAAGGCCTTCCATGGGGAGTCTTCAAAGTCTGCCATATCATTTGGGGCAGGGCCTAGGCCCTCTCCCATGTGTCTAGGCTGAGAAGTATCCTTCTATGTGGGATGGGCTCCCAAAGACCATTTGTATACTAGAGATAAATACTGATCCATTACTAGAGGCCCCATAGACTGTCTAGTTCTCCAACTAACATCCACATTCAGGGATCTGGGTCAATCCTATGCTAGTTTCCTAACTATAAAACTAGGCTGCATGAGCTCCCCTTTATTCAGGTCAGCTGATTCTGTGGGTTTCTCCAGCCTGGTCTTGATCCCTTTGTTCATCACTCCTCCCTCTCTGTAACTAGATTCCAAGAGATCAGCTAATGTTTAGTTGTAGGTGTCTGTTTATGCTTTCATCAGCTACTAGATGAAGGCTCTAGGACGGCATATAAGGTAGTGATCAATCTCATTATTTGGAAGGGCATTAAAGGTAGCCTTTCCACTATTGCTTAGATTGTTAGTTGGGTTCATCCTTGTAGATCTCTGGGAATTTCCCTAGTGCCAGATTTATCCTTAAATCTATAATGGCTCCTTTATTAAATTTGCTATCTATCAGTTTTTCTTACTCTTAAGATAAAAAAATAAAGATGAAATGAATGACTGTATTATAGAATGTGGTTTATGTGGGAAGATAAACCTCCTTTGTAGTTATAATTTAAATAGGACATGTTTAGGTTCATGTTTAAATTCTCACATTAAAACCCAGTGCTACTGCTATGGACATTTAAATTTAAAATCTCTACCCACAAAGTGATTTTAAATATTATCCTTTACACTGACATAGTGATGTTAGGACATCATGTATTAGAGACATAAGAAGTATATTTATCACTTACATGAACTATATAAAAATAATATCTGTATTTATCAACCTTAATTTTTTTCTTTAATCACAAAATGTCTTAATCTTGTTTAAATACAGCTTCAAAATGCTATTCCATTTCTCCCTATTGGTGAAACAAATTTGAATGTTAAAATTAATTTAAAATAAGCCCACCAAAAACATTCTTCTAGTTTAGTTATTTAGATAAATTATCTTGTTTATTATACACAACCCAAACATATTTGTGTATATATATGATAATTACATACTAAGGCATAATAATGAAATAATTGCTCAATTATTATGAATAGACAGCTTTGGGACAGCATTTTTTTATTAACATGACTCAATAGAGATGCTATTTTTGAATAATAAATTTGTGGGATAAAGTCAAGCAAAGTTTCCCACGGAGGAGGCGAAATGAAAATGTTCATGTCTGTCTGTGAGCTACACAGTAACATCAGCATGGTGCGGTGGAGGAAGGTGCTGGAGGTAGCATCTCACAGAGAAGTCTGGGTCTATGCTCTGGACCTTAGTGCCCTCCCCTAATTCTTGTGTTGAAATTTACCTTAGTGGGCTTAAAAATGAGAACTTGGCAAGAGTTAGGAGAAATTAGTTCCCAAATGGGGTTGATCTCCTTACAAAAGGGACTCAAGATAGCTTTCTCCTTTTGACCATGTGAAGACACAGTGAGAAGTCAAATGACCCAAGTTTGCAGAGGGAACTTTCAGTAAGTTCCATGGATGCACCCTCATGTTGTTCTTTCTAATCCTCAGAGCTGTGATAAACACTTTTACTTTGTGTGTAAATGACTGTGTTTGTGGAATTTTGTTATATGTTCTTATAGAAACCAAAACAGACAAGGCAGTTGAAAACTTAGTGGTTAGTTGGTGTTCAATAGTTGTGACATTTATCACTGCAATGAGAAGTCATGGTCCCAATTCCTTATATCTCTCTCCTTCAAGCGCTTGAAGCAGATGAGAAATGCAAAAGCTAAACTTCATGTGAGAGGCAGTCTACAAAATACTACATCAGTACACCTGACATCCTATCAAGGTTATACAAAATAAGTGAAGTTCCCTTAGAAAAACTTGCCTACACAAGTCTGAAGAAAGTCCCTAACTATAATCACTGTGCACCTTGAGAAGGAATTAGGAAGCAGAAAAGAAAGATATTGGATAAATGCTAAGGAAAATGGAACAAAGGGCAGCCTTTACCTGATTATAATATATCAATATTGATGCTCTAGTTGTGTTAAATAAATTACAGTACTGCAAGTTACAAATTATATAGGAAACAATGAATATGTATTATTTTGGAGCCCTAAACATGTTTTGTAGGTTTTCATTATATCTAAAATTTATGTTTCTGTGTCAGATAAAAGGCTGTCTTTTCAAATGCTAGTTTTTAGTGCATTTCATAAATGGTAAAATAAGAAAATTTAAATTATTTGCTTAGGATAATTGTAGTTGTGGCACTTAAAAGTAATGTATCTCTGAACATTGTGTGCATTGTAAATTGGTATATAACCCACATATATAAGCATGTGTATTATACATTTTAAAACAAGTTTATGTATATGGCATATAAGTAACTTACAAATCAGTTAGTCAATTGCATACACATTATATTTTTACATGGTTGTAGGGAGCATAAAATAACTCCTTTTCACCAAGGATCATTTCACCTTTTCACTATGTTAGAGTTTTTTGTTTGTTTGTTTTGTCTTGTTTATTTTTGTTTTTGAAGAGGGGGTAAGCAAAATTCAGGACTTTCTGAGACTGAATATATTTTTGTGAAAGAGAAAACAACAATAATAGCAAGTATTATATATTTGAAAATTTCCCAAATACATAAAACAAAACAAAAGAGAACTACTCTGCAATTAGCATTTAGAGTATTTGAAGATTAAATAAATGAGAAATAAAACTGATATAAATCATTTTTATTTAAATGGCATTACTAATTAGCGTGGAATAGATATTAAATACTCAGGATACAGACTGCAATATTAAGGAAGTGCCTTTGTGATTTAGAAATTGAGTTCTACAGTTAGTAGAAACTTGTATATAACACCTAGTTTCTGAAACAGTAGACACCTGTTATTTTCATACAGCCCCTGAGAAGAGTTTTTTTTTAAATGTCCTTGGTTTTTTATACAAAACACAATTGAAATATTTCACAATACATGGGAATTATTAAATAAAAATGTCAGTATACATAAGTAAATAGTGGAGTCATTGAGACAGAGAGTTTGTGGCTCGCCACACATACAATATTTACAGCATGGCTGTAAGGACTCAGGCATTATGCTGGCCTGGCCTGTCACCTGTCAGAATGCATTCAGGCAGTACCCTGGTCAGCCCAGGGTTCCATGAGTACTAGTCTGCAGGAAGGTGTAAAGTTTCCCTTTTAAAAGTCAGACACCTGCCCACTAACACCCTCTTTTGCTCATTCTCTCTCTCTCTCTCTCTCTCTCTCTCTCTCTCTCTCTCTCTCTCTCTCTCTCCTGCGTTC